TGTCGATGAGACATAGAGAAAATGATCGGGCATTTTGGGGGTTTGGGGGGGGGGGGGGGGGGGGCGTATAAAAAGATCGCTTGACATGCAAGGCAAATTAACAGTAGATGGACCACCGCCATATTAATTAAATCATATTTTATGTATAGATTATATATATGCAATTATACATGTTTGCCGAAATACACATACAATAATATAATATACATAGGGAGGAGAATCAAATGGTGAATAGTATATAAGCTAATTAATTGAGCATAAAGCTCGAACCTTTAAAAAGAATTGTACTATGATTCCCTCCCACCTCTTTTATTATGAAGTAGTATGTACTTGAAAAAATGGGAATCAAAATAATAGAATACGTAGTTTCATTGCAATGAACTCCATATATAAAACCTTATGTATATATTACTAGAATTTTTCCCGCAAATTCTTCTTATTCTTTGGACATAGTAAAAAGATGAATGATGAGAGGCTAACGAACATTATTTCTATAAAACTAAAACAGATGCATCTGTATGATTTATTTTCTTTAAGTAATATTTTTCTGTTTGAGACAAAAAAGAAAGTAAAGGAATTATCTAATGGTACTACTGAAAAGGAAAAGAACGAAAAGTATCGAGGAGGGGCAAAACAGTTGGTGAATTGAATTGAGAATTTTAGGTCATTTCTGTTCTTGGATCAAATAAAATTGCTAAATATCCATTCAAATTGTGTACAACCGAACTTCCCATCATGAATGATTAAATTCCTCCTTTTTCTTTTCCTCAAAGGAATGAGGAGATTAAGAATAATTTTTCAGTTCGATGCATAAAATATTCCGCATGTATGTATGCTGTAAAAGGCTGCACCTTAAAAGATGTGATATAGTCAAACTATCCTAATACAAGCATTAGTGGGTACTTCCACGGTTCGAACCCGTAGTTTATATACATATATATATATATATATATAATATGGAGCCCACCTATCATAAAATTGTTGTGTTCATTTGGTCTTTGATTCTGCACATATATATTCCACAAAATCATCTTGGCATTCCGTGCTTGCCTGCATACTTTCTGGTCTACTATACAAGGAACATGTATTATACATTGACAGAATCCCTCCTTTTGCCTCTTTTTTTATGGCCAGATACATCGATAGACCCTCAAATTTATCACGACTTTGCATTTTGACACTTGGTCATTGCGTTATTCCTATTGAACACCTCATGTTATTTAAATTGTACTCCTACGTCCTTCCCATTAATTAAATTGAACACCTCATGATTTATAAATTTCAATATGAAGAAAAACACATAAATACATTTTCATGCAAATAGTGGTTTTAGGTTTGGCGTGGGGTGTGTCGTTCGTTCTTTAACGAGAAAAATTACGCTTGTACCTTTTTTATTAAGATGTATGAATGTTTAATTGATTACATTAGCTAGTGGCAGTAGATCTTTGATGGATATAAAAGTGAAATTAGCGTAGAGTCCGTGGATCATCTTGATAAAAAAAGAAAGTTAAAGATCATGTGGATTCGGGAGTAGAGGCGGGTCCATTTAAATTTTAAGGGTTTAGATCATATTTTAGCCAATTTAATGTGCTTAATTAAAATTTATTTTGTGTAATTTAATAATAACTTTTAAGCAAAATACAGAATATGAGCGAAAACTATATGAATACACGTAAACCCGTAGCCTCTACACTGTATACGTCCCAGAGGAGGG